AAGTCGGATCAAATTTAAAATCTTCACAGAAACTGGACATAAAATCAACGTATTTTAGCTTATCAACACATCAGCCCAATAAACCTAACCATTGAAGTAAATATCACTTTCATATAGAATCAATAATGAAGTCACAGTTCTGTGAAGGACGGGGCTCCAGGGTCAAGGTTTTGGAAAGTTTTGGAAAGATCTTTGCAACAGGTCGAGTTAGAAACGACAGTAGAGAAGACCGGCTTTGACGCCGTTCCTTCTACTCACTTCACTTCGACCGTTTGTTTGGAGACACAGGTTTGGGACGTGTCATGTGTCACATAAGAACAATATAATTAACACAGTGTTAATTGAAAAAAACAAAACACACCGTGTAGGATCACACACGGCAGGAGAGGATTAGGAACGCCGTAGGGTCCTCGAAGCTGTCGGTTACGACTTCTACTGAAACCGATCTCTTCTTCCTGTCAAAGTCACAGTTCCATATTAATTGTAAAACAAAAATAAAGAGAAGGTTTTGGTTCTGAGGTTGAAACAGGACGAGAACACGTGTAAGTTGTTCAAAATAAAACCAGGCTGTGGTTCGTCCAGATCGTAGAGATTGTCGCGGATCGATCTTTGAAGCCACTTAGTTCATTCAAAATGTAGAGATTGGTTCATGTGAGTAAAAAAAAAAATAAAAAAAGAAAAATCAGCTTCATCTTTTATCAGCACTTTTCTTTTATCTACACATTTTGTAAATGCAACGATCTGGTAACACGAGAAACAAAGTGGAACCTCGGAAGAGTGGAACGATACCGATCAAAACTGTTTTTTTTTTTTTTTTTTTTACAATCTTTGGAGAATGAAGATGTTATCACGTCTTCCTCCATTAATCCCGCCCACACTGCGCTGCTCCTTCACTGATTCTGATCGAGACGCCGCCGGCGCTGATTGATTGGCTGAGAGTTGTTACAGTGAGACGTGGGTTTTTCTCTGACACTTTAACCTGTATCATACGAACTGGTACAGCGGCGCTGACACCGCGCCGTTTCATTAGCTGTAGTTTGAGTCACATCCCAGTTTGGATTCACACCACAACAGATCAACAGCGGGTTTCATTCTAGTCTATATACTAAAGAAAAAAAGAAAAAAAAAATCCTCCAAAGTCTTTAGCCCTGGGAATGAATGGTTTAGAAAAATATATGTCATGTAATGTGTGGAGAAGGTCAGTGAACGCACCATTTATAGATCCTCTTTATGAGTGAGGAGGCTGTAAAGCTACAGTGTTTCAGGCTGAACAATAATGGGTTTTATAAGCTTTAATTTGAGTTTTTCCGCCGCAGACGGCGTCAAGTACGTGGACCAGAGATCCAGGATATTCAAGGGATAAAGTAGTAGGAATATAATAGTAGTAATAAAAGAATTGTTGGTTGAAAAAAACATCAAGTAAATCCAAAACTTTTTTCTCGCAGTAGGTGTAAATAACATCTTATTTACACCCATATCTCCAAACTCCAAACTAAATTTAGGCTGTAGGCAAACTACGGCCCGTGGAACAGATACGGTCCGTTTGGTTTTCTAATCTGGCCCGACCAATCACTGGTACGAGGTACGGTAAATCCTCCTGTTTACAACGAATCAACGGTCATTTCTGTTTATACCACTAGATGGCGGCTGACATCAAATGTGCCACATTATTATTATTATTACAATTTTTTTTTTCTTTCTCCTGCTCAGGTATGAAGGTGAATTCGTGCAGGGGAAATTCCAAGGTGCGGGCATCTTCACCCGCTTCGATGGGACGAGGTTCGAGGGCGAGTTCAAAAACGGTTGCGTGGACGGCTACGGTAAGACCTTGAAATAAGATCGATGCAATGCTAATGACATTAGCCTGAACTGGAAGACAGTGTTTTTAACAGGAGACACTCATTCAAAATAACTAAAAAAGCTAGGGTTGAACCCTCGTTACTAGAACAAGGATCTTTTTTTAACGCAAAATTTGGTTTTGAAAAAGTTTGCTGTTGTCAGGTTAAACTGGATAGAACTGGATAGAACTGGATCCTCTAATGAAAAATACAAATACAGTTAATAATGTGGATCTGGTCAATGGATAGAATTCATTCATTGTTTTCCTTTTTGTTTTGTTTTTTTTTTTGGATCTGGTCAATGGATAGAATTCATTAGTTGTTTTTCTTTTTGTTTTGTTTTTAAAAAAAAAACAAAGTGAAAACCAATTTTTTTTTTGCTTTTTGTAATTGTTCTGCTCCTCTTCTGTCACTTTAGTCAAATGGAGGCAGTAAATTAGGCTTTTTTGGGGAAATCAAACCTCATGGAGTTGGGGTTAATCTGTGTCCCCTGCGCTCTTTGTTCTGATGTCAGGTATTTTAAATACTTTTTAATTATATTAAACAGTGAAACGTGTTAATTGTCTCGTCTGGAGCCTCGTGAGTCTCGGCTGGGTCTCTGGAGGTAATCAACACGTTTTTTATTTGAGCTCTGCTGGGTGGTGGTGAGGGTGGCACAATGTGTCACCTTGACAACTGGGTAATTTTTGTACTTTTAAAAATAGAGATGGAACGTATAGATTCTTTCAGTTTCCCTCACAGCCCACAGCCTGAAATCGGAGCAGATCCAGACGGGGAGCGGCTTCTTTGGCTAAACTTTAAACATTAACTTCACCTCAGATATCTGTTGACCTTAGCACCGCAAGAACCAGGGCTCGGACGCGAGGTATAGGATTCAAACCCTCAGCTATTTCTATTTTGTCCACGTTCGTCGCTGCCAGATTTTAACACGTACCATAAAGCTTTAAAATTCTTTAGAGCTGGTAAAAAAAATTATAGCTTGACACGCAGCATTCAAAAATGTAGTTCTTTTAAGGTTCAAAAATTGTATTTGATTATTTAATGAATTGGAGGTTGTTTTTTTTTTATTGTGTTTCACCTGCAGCGTTGAACCCGATCATTAACATTTCTTTGAGATTTTATCGAGGCTATTGTCGACGCTATTGTCACAAATAAAAAAAACAGTGTGACTAAAGTTTGAAAAGACAACGTATCAGACTTTGATCAGATCACGTTCTCCTGACAACTTTAAATGAGGAGTTTAACATGGTGTGAGATGTGAACGTTCACACTCATATACTTCACAGTTAGATTAGAAGATAAATATAGTAATAATCAATCTTCATTTACGGAGCATTTTAATTGGCCGCTCTCCAAGACTGTCATTCTAGGACGGCTTTAAATGAGCTTTGTAAAGTTCAGACAGAAACTAAAGTTGATTAAACGGCGGCGGAAAAAATTCTTACACAAACTATAAGAATATATATAACAACCAAAATTAATTCAGTTAAATGTTAATAAATGAATTTGAACAAATGTAAGTGGTCAGACGACGGAGAAAAGTAGCTCCGTCAAACGATTGAACTTCAAATGCCATGTGATAATCTCTGATTAATCACAATTAATATATTCAACCTTTCTGACTTTGACAAAAACAACTTTTTTGTTCCCTAAAAAGAAAGACAAATAACAGCAGGGAGACGTACGTGTTCCACACGTTTTCTTATTTGTGATTAATCTGGAAAAAAAAAGTCATGAAAAAATCCATATCAATTAATCTATAAAAATTTTACTTAGTTGGTGGGATGGGAAAAAAACTTGAATATAAATAACGTGTACAGAACAAACTTTCAAAGATAATTTGGCACATTTGATGTCAGTCGCCATCTAGTGGCATAAAAAGAAATGACCATTGATTCGTTGTACACAGAAGGATTTACCGTACCTCGTACCAGTGATTGGCGGGCCAGATTAGAAAGCCAAGCGTACCGTATCTGTCCCCCAAGCCATAGTTTGCCTACAGCCTAAACTTAACAACAAATGGAGATTTATTAATCAGTCTGACGCTCTGGTCATGTGACCTGGAGATATTTAGAACCAGTCTGACGCTCTGGTCATGTGACCTGAGGTTAAAGCCTCTATAAAAACATGCAGAGTTTGGAGATATTTAGAGTTTGAAAAGCTTCAGTGAAACCAAAACGTTTTCTCGCAGTAGGTGTAAATAACCTGAATGGATTTACTTGATGTTTTCCAACCAGTACTCTCAGTTCTTTTTTTTTTTTACTACTCCTTTATCCTGGCTTGTGTCTGGCGCAGGAGTTCTGACATCCGTTGACGGAGGCCACGGCGGCGGCGGCCACGAGGGCCTGTTTGAAAACAACCAGCTGATGAAGAGCGAGAACAGCCAGGGAGCTGTGACGAGGGCGCAGGCAGCGGCTGCCAAGGCCCGGGCTCTGGCCAAGTGACCTGGCCTTCGTCCACACGTTGGTTTATATATAAGTACTCTGTCCTCTCCTGCGTTGGTCCGACTGTTAAAACATCAATGTTTTTCTTTTTTTTTTTTCTTTAAATACATTCATTCTTATTTTGGAACAGTTTGCCAAAGCTGCCGACAGCAGTATTACTTCAAACGGTATTTGATACGAGTGTAAAAAGATCTGGTCAGAGCCACTGATTCAGGATCAGTTCAGTCAAACCCAGATTCACTGTTAAGCCTTTACACTGGTGCTAAGTCTGCTTCAGGGTCAGTTCAGCGGACGAACTATTCTCTCTGGATACGGGAGTGCAAACGCATGCATTACAGTGATGTGGTAAAGCTAAATGCTAAGCTAGCACGACGACTACGGTTTCATTTTTCACACCTGTTTCTAACTGAATATAGGATTTTATAAGACGGAAAAATCTTAACAAAATATTAGATCTCAAACTCGTCGCTGATTGGATGCTGCGGAGCGTGATGCCGCTGAAAAAGTTTAATTTTTCCAACTTCTTTTGCATCGCCTTCAAACGCTCTTTCGCTTCATTCGCCGACGCCGCTTGAAACACTTGAACCAATCAAATTCAGTAACACTTTCCCCTTGAACCACGTCTGACCTTTAAATCACCAAATCAGCGTCTACGGGTTTCCTCATCCTCCGAACCTCTGACCTCGAGCCGACGTTTTGGCGTCGGAATAGAAATATTCAACAAAGATGTTCAGAGGAGGAAAAGCTGGATGTATTTTTTTTTTTTTTTCCTCCTCGCTCAGTGTTTTGCTGCTCAGTCTAATCACATATCAGAGCGAACATCATCCTCCGAGGCAACCACACCGTGCCAACAGGCTGACACTGATCCAGAGTCAGTAGCTCTGCAGTCGCTGAAGGAGCAGAGTGATGGCAGAGAGCAAAAGGGGAAGGAGGGAGGAGGGGGAGGAGGGGGTGATCAGCAGAGGCGTGTGGAAGTGCCCTGCACTTGTCTGCATGCTACGGTAATGACTGCAATTTCTGTTGTGGAGGTGCAATTCCATAATAACGTGCAATTTGTGCCTGAAAAGCAAGACTCCCCAGGTCTGACCCCCCGACAGTCTGACTCCCCCCCAGGTCTGACTCCCCCAGGTCTGACTCCCCCTGAGACTCCGAGCTGCTTCGTCTTTAGGGGGAGGCTCCGTGAGAAAAAAGAAAAATCCCAGTTCAAAAACAGTTCCTTCAAAATGCGCGGAACTAAAACCGTTTGTGTTTTGTTCCAGGGAGACGTCGTCTTCAGACGTAGCTGTTTTAAAAACACGTTCATGTTTTTGTTTTTTTTTAAAATTTGAGACGATAAATCTCATGAAGTTATGAATGCATCACCGATTAACAGGCCTTATAATTACAACAACATGGTCAGGATGACAACAACTGCATCAACATCAGCTATATAACAATCAACAACATGGTCAGGATGACAACAACTATCAGCTACATAAAGAGTAAAGAGCGCCCCCTGGTACAAAGCATTGTCCTAAATGAATGTGCTTTTAAAATATAATATTATAAAGTAGTAGCAGGCACTGAGGAAAGGTCAAAGTTCAAGTTATTTACGGAAAATATATTCCGTTAGTGTAATAATCCTGTTGATAAAATCTGAATAATTGTTTTTTTTCCAGATCAATTCAGTGACCTCTGAACTTTAAAAGCTCCGAGTTTGGCTAGAAAAATTCACGTTTTTTTTTTCAAACTGAGAAAATGTAATAATGAATAGAAATCTTAATCAATTAAAGTGAAATACACTTTTAACACATTTTAAATTTAGTCAGAGAAAAAAAAAACATTTGCACATTTCCTAGTTAACAGCAAATTCTTATTAACATTTAAATTTTGGCCTCATTTTAAACAAGCAACGTTTGATATGACAAGTTACGTTTACATTTAAATAAAAGAAGATGAAAATAAAATAAATTAAATTATTTTTCTTTTGCAAAATCAAATTTAAATAAGAAATAAATAAAAAGTTAATGAATTAAAATACCAAATTGGTCCAAACGCTCACATTCCCACCTTTCACCACTAGTCTCAGTGTCTTTTGTAATTGTGATTAATCACAGATCATCTTTATAATTATACACGTAGGAGCAGAGTTTAAAGATCGGAGCAGAGTCGCAGACACGCGATCGGCTCCGGAACTGTTTGTTTGTACAAAATGACAAAAAAAAAGAAGAAAATATGAAGTCACAGTTGTGACTGTTGTGAATCTAACACCGCTCCAACTAACACATACTTCACACCTGTGTGTGTGTGTGTGTGTGGGGGGGGGGCGTTGGGTATCAAAGGGGAAACAGTGAAGTGTCAGTTATGTTGGAGGTTGGATTAATTTAGGAGCCCGCCGTCGGCCACACTGTGCAGTTTGACACTGACAGTGAAGGCATCACGCCGACAGTGAAGGCATCACGCCGACAGTGAAGGCATCACACCGACAGTGAAGGCATCATGCTGATGGCGGCCTCTCACACCTGTTAACACATCACGCCGACAGTGAAGGCATCACGCTCTCACACCTGTTAACGGGCTCTGGGATCCAAACAGCAGCAGTGTTCAAGGCAGTTACTGTTAAAACTACTGGTTTTTTTACTTATTGATCCCAGGTTTCTTCACCGTCTCAGAACAAACAGTGGATCAAAAAAAATAAAATAAAAATCCCTTTAAAAACGCACCTTAAACATCTGGACTGGACACCACTGTTCCATGTCCTGCTGTGGTCCAACACCGGGACCGACTGTGTCCGACTGTGACGGAGCTCAGAGCAGAAATCACAGGAAAAAAAAAAAAAAAAAAAGGATCTAAACCGTCACAGCAGAGTCGCTGCCTTCTCAGTGGACGCGTTTTTCCAAACAGACCATGTGACTTTTACTCGTGCCGGCTCTAAGACTGTTTTCTTTCACGTTGTTTTTCTCCCGTGCTGTGTTCACTTGTTGCATGTGAAAGTCTGTAAATCTGAGTCTTTGCCAACGGAAACCGTTCAGTTGTTCTACCTGAGGTGTAATCAGCATGATTATTTCCATTAGGTATTCACTACTAACACACACACACACACACACACACACACACTCAGACACTGTCAGTCAACAACAGTTTCAGCAACATAACGGCTCTGACACTGTCAGTCAACGACAGCAAAATAAAAAAATCTAAATCAAAGGAGTTCAAACGAGTGCCTAAACCAAAACCTTCTACTGAGCTCCGTTCGTTGGACTTTAAATGTTCTGTTCACGTGAAATGTTTCTATTGTTTTGTGTCTTTGTGAAGAAAAACAAGAAGAAGTGACGCGTGAAGACATCGACCAATCACAGGGCTCGGACTCAGCTGTCAATCGTGGTGTCTCGTGGTGCCAGAATTTTAAATCAGGACAAAAGCATTTCTTCTGTTTCCTGAACGTTTGTCTATTTGACAGGGCGACGCTTTGGAATTAGTAATTCGGCCACTAGGGGCAGACTACCTTGATCATTAGGAGAATTTAGACACAGTTTATATGGAAAAATGTTGAATTGTTGCTGTTCTGAAACAGATGGATCTGAGTTCTGTTTCTGGTTGTTTGTAAAAGTTTTTTTTTTTTAGTTTTTGACAATTTAACTTTTTGTGGTTAAAAAAAACATCCCTGAAATCAGCCCAGGTGAGAAACTGTGAGACATGTGGGACATTTTCTATTCTGAGTTATGACTCATCAGTCTGACTCACTGAGACTTACTGAGCGGCCCGTGTGGACAGCTGTCCACTGTGGACTGGGCTGGATTTTTCAGCATCATTTTTCCACTCTGGCACCACTGGACACCACAGAGACACAATTATATATTAAAAAAAACAAACAAAAAACCAACCAACCACCCAGAGGCCTGATTGTGTTTTCATGATAAGCCATAGCATCACTTGAATTTACGACAAACTGATGATGTCACTGGAACTGAACTAACTGTGCTTTTGTTAATTAAATGTAGGAGAAATAAAATATTTAAAAAAATAAATGCTAAAACTAAAATAAAGAAAATCTGAAGCCTGGTATTTTTTTCTTTGCGTTTTGAATCCTGATCACACATCTCGGCAGGTGAAGCAATTATTTGCAAAACGAGGCAGCGAGCCCTACCTCCACCTCCACACACACCCCCCTCCTCCTCACCCCTCCTCACCCCCACCCATCTTTCCCCACCCACTCTCTCTCTCTCTCTCTCTCTCTGTTCTGTCACTAAAATAGCTTTAAGGTGTGTTTAGGTTGGACTTTAACCCCGGCGCCTATTTCGTCTCCTTGGAAACGGTCCAGCGTTGCCTTAATTTGTATCATCTCAATCCTGAGTGCGGCTGCAGTTTTGCCTGTTTGCCCCTAATCATCGAGCCTGTTGCCATGGCGAAGTGTTTAAATATGCTCCGCAGATCATCTTAACCTATCACACCAGAAGTGGCAGCTATACATTAATGTCTGTTTGTGTGTTTTCTTTGTTCCTGAGGTGAAAGAAAGGAACATGATTTCCTTTCTTTACACCTGACACTTTCTTTTCCTCCTAAATTTCATTTTCTGAGCCATTCCTCGTCGCTGCCCCCCCCCCCCCCCCCCCCCCCCCCGCGGCGGGGGGGGGGGGGGGGTTTCCTATTTTCTATTTCACGCGTTCCTTAAAGAGAGCAGGGCTTTTGTCTGTTATCTTATCAGTGAAGCTTCACGGCTCCCAAAAGCTTTGGCCATGTTTAGAGAGGAAATGCACACGGCATACTGATAAGAGAAGGCCTGGCACTGCAGGGACAACGCGGCGACAGTGCATGTGCACGTGCACGTGCACACTGTAAAACATAAAAAGTGGCCGAACGAAGGGGGATAATAAAAAATAAACCGGAGAGGAAAAACAGACGCCCAGCTGGATTTTGCCCGGTTTTAATTGCTTTGGGTTCCCACCGCTCACAACGGCACATTTGGGAGTTTGTGCGTGTGTCAGTGTGTGTGTGTGTGTGTGTTCCCGTATAAACATACGTGCCTGAGAGTGATGGGGGGAGGTAT